TCTCTCTCTCAAAAATAAATAAACATTAAAAAAAATTTTTTTTTACTACAGAACTTAATTATACAAACTGGTCATTTACTGTTTCTAATTATTTGCTTTGAATATTCCTTCATTAATAAAGATGCTAGTCTTTAGACAACTGGTTATCACTGATATCAAATATTAAATGTAATAGAGCCTTATTTGGGAGGTAATCCCTTGAAATAATAAATAAGGAAATTAATAAATAGAGAAATGCAATAAAATAAAACACAGGAAATGTCATACACGACAGCATCATTTTTATTTGGTATCATCAGTTGAGTTCTATAGGTCAATTCTCCAGAAAACTGAAATGCATTAATTAACAAAGCTTTGAAAATGCTTACCCTTATAATAATCTGCTAAAAGGACACCAGTTTCTTACTTCCTTAAACACAGTACATAGAATAAAAGTTTATTTATGACTAAGGTCATCCTGTGACACACCATGTACTACACTGCTTGGCAATATTGTGATTCCCTCTGAAGTTAATGATTATAGGACTGCATGTCCCTATGTAATGGCCTTAAAATACTATTTTTCTATTCTTCTAAAATAGTTCCATCTATTTTTTAATAGTTTTTCTCCCCTTTCCCTTGAAACATAATTACATTTCAGCAATCATTGTGCCTAACTCCAATGGCCAATCCTGTGGATTATGATCTGTGGGCTAAAAAATCAGATAACCAATCCTGTTGGGACTGCAAAACTTATTTACTCCACTTAGGAATTTCTGAATAAAGACCACAGGCTTATGGTATTTGCTTACAGTTATTTTGATGGCTCAGGAAATCCATGCTGTTTCAAATGGCTGAGATCACTATCACTCAAAAAACGTTTGTTGAATTACTGAATATAACATAAATATAACGGAGTTTCCAATAATAATGAATGGTTTGAGAGTCTCCTCAAGAAAAGTTACTGAACTCACTGGTCTCTGACAATACAAAAAAGTTCTACCTAAATGAGAAAGAACAGCTAAAAAGAAAAAAACAGAGGTGAGAAGGATAAGTTCAAATAAAATAGCAAAGTCTATACTTCCATGGTATTGGAAGTTAACACTTAAGACTCTGGGAAATACTCACTGTTCAATGTTTTTAAAGTATAATTACAGTAGTTATCAAAGTATTAACTACAGAAATTTGCACCACAATGTATACCACATCTATATTAAATACTTTAAAAACCAAAAAGTCTTCCAGCAAATACTTCTTGTAGTTAAATCCAAACTGAATTTTCCTATGAAATTAAATAGATTTTTTTTAAAAAGCACCTGCAACATATTTTCACTGATATTTCTGGCCAAGTAATTTCTGGTAATCTCTCTTGGATACTGGTTCATGAAGAGTTAAGAAATAAGATTTATATTCCTGGTATATTAATATGTAATATAGGTATCACACTGTATAGTTTACAAAGTTATAGGTCTATGGAAATTAGCATTGCGTCAGGCCCTAAGAAAAAAATCCAAGTGAGGCCAAATCAGTATTGAATTATCAATGTTATTAATTTCCTCTCATCACTGCAGCTCATCAGTTCTCAGATCACTTCTGTGACAGTTAATAAATGAGAAAAGGAAAATAAAATTTCTTGGTTATTTAAGTTTTACTCAAGCAAACTCTAACCATATAAAATACATTCCTCTTCCTCCTTAGATTTTCTCAGTATATTTCTACCCAGTATTTCAGATAAATACTAATCTCTAAAAGACTGGTATTCCCAAGATCCACTACCAGAAAGTTTATTAATTACAAAAGTGTAAGAAATATATACAGTATCGCAAGGATCAGATACACATGGTAACTACCAAAGGCCCAAATACCAAGCACAACTTTGTAGATCCCTGTGCAAAGGCCATTATAGAATAGTGAACTTTGAGACCATTGCCATTTTGACAATTTCCTTCTAAAAATAATAAAATTTACTTCTAAAAATAATAAAATATACTCAACAAATGGTACTTAACAAGTGGGCTTTACCTAACTAAAGAATTCACAAAGTTGCAATTAAGTATCAAACTCAATTGCTGATTTTTTATGACAAATGATATCAAGCAATTTTTGAGATGGACTGAAACAGTCTAAAAATTTTAAGAGAAAAAAATGCCTAAAATTACTGATTCCAAATTCTAGTCAACTCAAATTGCCCTCCAACCATCGTGAATCTGCCTAGTCTTGGACCACAGCCCTGTCAAACTTCTACCATCCTCTTTTTTCTGTGCAACTTCTCCAATTCCATTTCAGTATCAAACTACACATTCTTTTCCTCTTTCCCTCATCACACCTTTCACACTCACTTTCATTCCCCAATTTTCCTAATTGGAACAATTACAAAAGAAAATCACACTGCCCAAGAAGAAAAGATACTTTTGTGTAACTAATAAATAATACTGCTAGTAGGTTTGCGGGAAAAGTACAAAAAAACAATCACAAAATCCTGCAACTTCTGAGTATATGTACATTTGTCTGTATTCACTAATAATATACCTACCACTCTACTGTTGAGCTCAGTAAATTGCATGATCAGAACTATTTAACTGAGCTGGTAACTTTTTAAAATTCCTATACACAAACTTGGGTTATAATTTAGAATATGTATCACAAAATATAAGCATAAATGTAAGGGTGAATGTATAACACAAGTACTAAATATAAAAATATAAAGCTCAACTGATAACATACTTATTTCTTTAAATTCTATTTTATTTTAGTGCAAAACTACCAGCATACTAAATCTCCAGGACAAAAATAATGCTATCACTCAAGACACTGTCATAAAACCGAACCACCAAAAAATCTGTACAATTTTTTTGTCTGGGCGCCTGTGTGGCTCAGTGCATTAAGAGTCTGACTCTGGATTTCGGCTCAGGTCATGATCTCATGGTTTGGGAGAGACTGAGCCCAGTGTTGGTCTTGGTGCTCCCAGGGTGCAGCCTGCCTGGGATTTTTTCTCTCTTTCTCTCTCTCTGCCCCTCCCTCTAGATAAAGAAATAAACAAATCTATTTTTAAAGCAAATATGCATATATTTGTCAAGACAATAGGTATGCATCGCTAAATGAAAATTTCGCGGAGTAGAAAATTTTTTACTGGTTGCTAATGTTGTGATAGTGTGTCTCAAAACACCACTCCACTTCCTCCTCTTCCTTAAAAAAAAAAAAAAAAATGGAATAATACACAGCTACTGCTAAGAGTGGTTACAGAGATTTAAGACTAAGTAAGGCAACTTAGCAAGAGTGTAACAGGGAGCGTTTTACTGTATATATTTCTCTGTATCAAGTGTAAAGGCAAATGACACTTTTGTAGTTTTTTAGAAAAACAAACTTTGAGTGGATTACCTAGTTATCTCATTAGTTATGTAATTAACTCCCCACTACAAATACTAAATAAATCCAAAGACTCATGAATACGAAATTACAAAATACGAAATTACTTGGCTCAAGAATACGAAAAGTAGGTATACTGTAAATTTATCTCTGATTCAGACATTGAAAGTTGGAGAAAAATTAATTTTATGTCAAACTCATTTAAAGAAAAACCGAACTCAAACTTTGATACCAAAGTTTATGAAGAGAAGTTTCGTTTTAATTAAAATTTTGACTTAAAACATTCCACTATTACTTGTAACCATGTGACCTAAAACAACCATCCCTGAACATCAAAGATGGCAACCTCATAATACAGTAGTAATCAAAATCATATCGATAATTACGAGTTAATAGGCACGCACAAAATTAAAAGAACGATTTTATTCTGACATCAGTTATTGTCAGAGATATAAGGGCTCCTTCCAAATACTGCCAAAAGTTACTGTACATACAAAGTAAGTTAGAGTCGTGAGGAAGTTATCAATGACCAAGTAAGTGGGAGTAAATGATGCTCAGAGAGGAAAAAATAAAAGGCGCAGTAGTTTTAAGCGTCTGAAAATAACCAGTGGACTAAGGTACTGCGGCAGAAACAAGCGCCAGAATGGTTAACAGGTCTGGAATTCTTTAGAAAATGGCAACAAGGGGGAAAACTGACATGAACGTTTGAAAGTTAACAGCAACGCTATCCTATGGAATCGTCACGACTGCGCGAGCATGGCTCTGGACTTCGAGGGAGTAAGACAGAGGGGTGGAACTATCACTGCGCTGGGGAAAAGGAGCCGGGGCTGAGGGGTGCAGACGCTTCTGCAGGTGGCGGAGCGCCCGAGGGGGTGGGGGGGAGGACCGTGTCGCCTCAATGAGGTCAATGTATTCCCTTCAAGACTAAAGGAAGCTGACCTAGCACGTCTCCCGGCACCAAGAGGCACTCGCCCCCGGCCCCTCCCTAACAACTTGCCTGGTAGAAAGAGTTGCGGGTCCCAGGCCCCCGGAACCCAAGGATTCGCCATCCAGGACAACTGCTCTGCCAACAAGGTCCCGCGAGAATCGAGAGATCTCGCGATACAAACCCACTAGCATCTCGCGAGTTTCCCCTGGAACCAACATGGCGGTACAGTGAAATCGGTATTTCGGAACTTGAAAAGTGCTTCATTAAGGGACTTGAGAACGTGGATAACAAGGAAATAGCAGAAAGTCTTTTACGCCTTTTATTTCTCATCCTGTCCCCCCTAGTAGAGAGGAGAAGCGATAGAAAACCCTAAAACATCCAACGACCACGGTTAATACCACACAGACACAACAACCCTCTGCCTCAACCAGCCTCACAGCCTGTCACGTGGAAGGAGAGTCTCGGCGTGCCGTCACGTGGGCAGCTTACTGAGCGAGCGCGCGCTGGTCGTCCTCCCAAGAGCCCTCCCCGCCCCCCTTTCGCCCGCGCACACGTGCGCGCGCACCCCCGCCCCACGTGGGGGTTTCGCCGTCGCTTCCAACCCACCCCCTCCCAGCACTGGGCTCTAAATCCGGGTCCCAAAGCCGATGGTGCCCCGGGTTCCCTCCTCCTCCATTCTCCCTACCCCATGTCTGGCCCCCACCACGTGCCCCGAGCGACTGCTCACCTTCCGCGCGGGGCAGGGCACCGTGAGCTACTTGGGGAAGCGCCGCCGCCGTGGCCGCTCTCTGCCCCCGCCACGGCACTTGCTCGGGTGGCCGCCGCAGGAAGCTCGACAGCGGCGCCGCGGCGCTTCCAGGTGGGTCCCCGCCTCCCGCTCCTGCCACTTCCCGCAGCACCAGCGGCTCCTTCCGGTCCCCTCCTCTCTCGCTGGGACGGGCGGGCGTCGGCGGCTGCAGGCGAGCTCACTACACCGCCTGCTGGTAACCGCGGCCCGTGCAGCGCGGGCGGGCTGGGGGCCGCCGAGGTCCGCCCTCGCCCCTGGGCGAGGGTTGGTCTTCTGAGAGCAGGACCCAGTTCCGTCCCTACTATAGTCTAACTTGGCCCTACCCATAGAGGAAAGGAGTCGTTGTAGCTCCGCTGTTGGAAGTCCGCTCCATCGTGCCCTCTGTGGTCTCTTGAAAGGTTTGTACACACTGGCTCCCTTAGCGATGTGGTCTCAAGCTGTATGTTATATATGCTCCTGCCTACTTCATCGCCAAACACACAGCCCCCTCGCTCACTCCTCTGGCTTTCTGGCTATTCCTACAACACGCAGGCTCTCAGACTTTCAGCTTGCTGTTCCCCCTGGATAGAACTCTTCAGATTTCTTTTAACTCGTTGATGTTCAATGCGTAGTTCAAGTCCCTTCTCGAAGGTCAACATGAGGCTTCCAGGCCACTGTATCCAAAAGAGCACACTTGCACCACCAGTCTTAACTCTCTTCACCTGCTTATATTTCTAAGCGACGGTTATCACTTACAGACTTTGTCGGTTTCCTGCCACCAAGAATGTGAGATCCATAAAGGCAGGGACTTTGTAACTTTTGCTCATTGCTATATCCCCAGACCTGTGTCAGGCACAAAGCAGTGTTTAATAAATACTGTGTTAAAACATGTCCCTAGGGGTGCCTGGCTGGCTCAGTGTTCAGGACCCACCTTGGGTGTACAGATTAGTTAAATAAATAGAAATAAATAAATAATAAAACATGTCAACAAACTACATTGGGCATGCAGGAAGATAAAGCCCAATAAACATTAATGGAAATAAGTACTTCCTTTGGGTTGATTGTTCCATTGACAATCCTACCATTTATGAGCGGTGGAAAAGCTGAACTACAATTTTCCCTGTTTATAGGAAAATTATATTCCAAAAATATAAAATCCAGTGATAGAAGCCATTTTAACTGGAGCTCTTATGCATTTGTCAAGTACTGCTTCATTGCTTTTGTTTTCCTTGTCTTTGGAACTTTTTTCCCAGGCAAATGAATGTATGTGCCTCCTTTATTTTTTTTTTCTGGTAAGTCATTAAATGTTGAATTGACTTTATTTGTTTTAGTTGAGAGTTTAACTCAAAATAACATCTGCTTCCAGACAAAAGGTGACAGATATATTTTTATATTAACACATCAACTTGCCTTTACTGAACCTAATTGGTTCCAGGCCCTATTCTAGGACTAGAGTCACAAAAATAAACAAGGTTTCCCTACCTTGCTCTATATGTTTTAGAGCCAAGTTCTATGTATAATAACCATAACAACCATCTCTTATTGAGTCATATGTGGCAGGCAGTCTGCTATGTACTTTTTATCACTGATTCTATTTTAATCTTCCAATGTTCTAAGATAGATACTGTTAATGTTAGGCACCAAAATGTACTTCTCAGATACCCTTCAGAAATGAAGGACTTATTACCCAGTGGCCAGGAGTGTTGCCCACAGACAGCCATTAACTGTCAACCCCCTTCTGGTGTTGCTCAGTGTCACACCTCTTCCCAAGGAGGCCACATCCAAAGACTAATCAATATAGAGCCACTAATAGTATCTATCAGGATTGTTGGAAGGACTGGCCCTCTCACCTCAACTTGGGATAATTCTGGTGGATCATCCTATATGCAGAACAACTTGTATCAACTGTTGCATCCCATTAAGACTACATGACTGCTTGACTTCTTCTGCTGCCCAGTTCTTCCCTAACGTCAAAAATGATGATCCTAAGAGCATTTCCTAAAAAAATCTACACACTAATCACGTAAGTGTCTGCTTCTTGGAGAGCCCAACCTATGACACTATTCACATTTTTCTGGTGAGAAAATAGGCTTAGAGAGTTACGTAATTTGCATAAATTTGAACTGCAGAAGGCTCTATGTAGAGATATAAATATTGTGGGAACAGAGGAGGGTTGGGAAAGGCTTTTTACAAGGGTTGGCATTCAGGTTACAGCATGAGTTTGCAAAGCAGAGAAAAAAAGACCATTCTCAGCTAAGGGAACTGCATGATTGAGAGTATGTAGGAATGTGAAAGGGGAACTACAAGTAGCCCCAAGTGGCTGGGTTCTAGGGTCTTTGGAGCAAGCACTTAAGGGGTGAGGGGGATAGACTAGTTCATTGATGGTAAAGAAGATGGCCAAGGAGAGAAAATTCTAGGCCTGGGTGTAGATCCTGGCCAAGCAGAAAGGGATAAGAGCCCCCCTTAGATCTTCAATTATCTAAGAGGGGGGAAAAGGAGCTCTCTTGACTCAGAAAAAGAAACCACTGCCAAGCTCACTAGTGAAGGTCACTCCCTAATTATGATATATCCCATATGCTCTTGGTTGTTTTCATCTAGGATCACAGAATACTGAAGATGGAAGAGACTTCAAGATCATCTAATTCAGGGATTTGCACAATATTTACTGGAGCACTGGGATTCCTTTTACACACATAGTCTTCTGCCAGAATCCAATACTTAATCCAAATAAAATGACCTAGGAATTGGCAACCACTGACATCTGCCTTTAAGGCACTGCCTCAGAACATGCTTAGAAAACCATTTATGTAGTTAGTTCATTCATTCATTCAATAAGCATGCTAGTTGCTGTACAAGGTGCTGGAGATACAGTAGTAAACAAAGCAAGCATAGACCCTACTCTTACAGATCCTGTAGTCTAGGGAGGGAGACTGACATTCAAGAAATAATCATACAGGCACACCTGTGTGGCTCAGTCGGTTGAGCATGCAACTCTTGATACCAGCTCAGGTCATGATATCATGGTTCATGATATCTGCACTGACATTGCGGAGCCTGCTTGAGATTCTCCCCCCACCCCACCCCTCCTCTGTTTGTTCTCTTTCTCTCAAAATAAATATATATTTTTTAATTTTTAAAGAATCACACAAATACTGTACATAAATTAAAACTAGAGGCACCTGGGTGGCTCAGTCGGTTAAGCGTCTGACTCTTGATCTCAGCTCAGGTCTTGATCTCAGGATTGTGAGTTCAGGCCCCTCACTGGGCTCCACTCTGGATGTAAAGCCTACTTAAAAAAAAGTTTCAAACTGATAAGCACCATGAATGAAAATTACAGGTGACTAATGAAAGTATGTCCATATGCTCCAAAGTACATGTTCTGAGGTCTTTAGATAGAAGAAAAAGGGAAGGCTTCCTGAGGAAATAACATCTAGGCTGAATGAAACCAAAAGTGTGAATGTGCATTTAGGAGTTAGGCAGAAGGTATAAAACATTACACAGAGAGAGGTTGATAGAAAGGCCCCTAAAAACACAGAACTACTACCACCAGAAATAAGCTGCTACTTTTACTGTGGATATATATAAAATATGAAATGTACCCTAATCACTTTCATTAGCTCATGCTTTCCATGTCATATCGTTCAGAGATGTTCATATAATTTATTTAAACGTTTTTCTCTTTGGGGGTATTAAGGCTATTCTACTTTCCTGCTATTACAAATGATTGGTTTGGTAAATGCCCTTATATCCAAATATGTATCTAGGTTATTTGGGGGGCTAAATCTCCAAGATTTAGGTAGCTGATTGAATTTCTTAGTATGTTAAAAGGGAGTCTAGGATTCCTGGGTTGTGTGACCAGAGAGATGGAGGTGTCACTGAAGACCATAGGAAATACCATAAGTAGGAGCAGGTTTAGGGGAGGAAATGATGTCTGCTGAATTTGGATTAACTCATACATCCAAATGAAGCTGCCCAGGAGTCAGTAGAATATATAGATCTGGGATGCAAGCCCTAGGTCATAACTACAGGTACAGATTTGTGAGTTTTCAACATACAAACAGAAACTGAATCCTGGGTTTAGATTATCCAGGAAGAGCACAAAGAATGAGAAGAATTGAAAATGTAGAACAAAACCTTGAGAAATTCAAACATTTGGAGGCAAAGGAAAAAAAAAAAGGACAATTACAGAGGAGAAGCAAGAGGCAAGAACAGTAAAAGAAAAACTGGGATAGAATAGTACCTCCAAAACCAGGGAGAAGGTAATTTGAAAGAGAGCCATCAACATTAATTAACAGAAATTTACCAGCTACAGATTTTGTGCCATACACTGTGGTAAGCACAGGAGTGAACAAGACAAATCCTTTTGGTGCTTACTGACTAGTGGGGAAGACGTTGTTGTACACTGCCCAAAAAACCAGTATATTTGGCATATTTTTTAAAAATTATCCTTGGGGTGCCTGGGTGGTTCAATCAGTTGAGCGTCTGACTTCGGCTCAGGTCACGATCTCGAGGTTCTTGAGTTCAAGCCCTGCATCAGTCTCTGTGCTAACAGCTCAGAGCCTGGAGCCTGCTTCAGATTCTATGTGTCCTTCTCGCTCTCTGCCCCTCCCCCACTCGCACTCTATCTCTCAAAAATGAATAAACATTCTTTAAAAAAATTTTTTTAATTATCCTTGCTTATTTCTAAAAATACTTATGGGGCTTAAAATTAATACAATAATTACAATAATTGTATTATTATTATACAATATACAAAATACAATAAAAAATTAATACAATAGACAAAATCAAATTTAAAATGATTAAAATGGGTAAGTTGAAGTAAAATAATGCACAAAAATACCTATTCTAGGGTCCTGAGCACTGCTTCAATTCTGGCATACCTTGTAACAAGGAAAAACAAGATCATTTATGACAGTGTCAGCATCCATAGGATAACAAACCAGTTGCTCAGGGGAGGCATTACTATTCCCAGTACTAAGATCAAACATAAATTTGTCCCACAATTTATCAAAACAAGATTATGTCATATAGTGAACTGTATCCTCAACAGCTTCTTTACTGTAAAT